TATATTAAGAATAATTCAGCTCCAATATGTGAGTTAAAGACTAATAAAGCCCTTTGGTAGAACATTCTGAGAGTATGGAAAAGATCAAAACATGAGTCAGTTTGTGGCAGCCAGTAGAGACACATCTTGACAGGCAGTGGACTATGTTCGTTGTTCAAGTGATGGCAACAGGCTGGCAACAGGCGTCATCTGCTCCAAGAGGAGAATCACTGAGTCACTTTACCTTGGACGATCCTGTGGATGATTCAGTTTTGCTCCAAGAAATCAGACTCTGCAAGGTTACACTCAATTCAATCAATTCATTCATTGCATTTTAGTTTTAGCCCTCTCTGCTCACCTTGATTCATGGCACAATAATTGTAGTTGTATTTTTTCAACGTTGCTGTTACTGAGAGTCTGATAAATGTGGGAGATAGCACATTCTGTTGGCCTGAAGTGAAGCACTCTTGAGCAAGAACAGAGAACAACAGCAGTGTTGTTATGTCAGGAAATGAAACAGATTAGCTCTTATGTCCACTTTAACCAACATTGACTTGTAATTAGCCAACATACTAATGTTTAAATTTCTAAATTATCAGTGTGGTCAAGGATTTTCTGAAATGCAGGATCCAGAATAAACAAAATCCATAATACAGCCACCTCTTGTTCTAATAAGCCTCAATAGGACAAACACTTAATTTGTATTTTTACAACTTCTGAGATACAAAGAATATTGTTCAGTAACATAAGTTACTGAATTAAACAAGTGCTTTTAAGTTTATTGAAGAGAGGCGTCTTGAGTACAAGCATTGCTGAGATCATTGTATGAAGAAAGTTGGGTGTGCTGACATAAAGGGAAACATAAAGGGCTCTGAAGGAATTACAAATCTAGAGTTGTGATAAGGAATGAAAATGGAAATGGTCAAGCAAAAACAACTTGGACTGATTTTCAGGAGAGATATTAAAGAAGAAAAAAATCTTTTGTTCTGTAAACTGAGTTCATTTGGCATGAAAATAATACAATGATAAAAATCTTTCAGTCTAAATTTCTGGCTCATATTTCAAATCAGATTTAATTTGAAAGGTTAATTTTCTTTTTTACTTTTGTGTGGTTGTGGTATGCATTTGAAATTGACCAGAGATCTGCAAAAATCTGTGCAGTGTTTAGCAATCAGAAGGGGAAATTTCTTTTAGCGTTATTGTGGGGGAGGTTTTTTGATTTTTTTTAACCTTTTAATTAAAAGCCTGTTGTATTTTTTCCTTTAAGATATTATGTTTCCTGAAACTTAATCTTATGATGAGGGTGCTATTGGAGCTCTGTTCTTTTAGAGAGACAATCTGAGCTCATGTGACAGTCGCTTCAGTCCATTACTTAACCAGATGAATATATTCTTTTCAGCACTGTTTTCCTATCTGTCTCTTTGAAGTTGAGGAATCAGATACTCAAATACTTTGTTTTGCTTTGCTTTGCTTTACAGAAATGGACTATCTGGGTTAGGAAGGCAGTTCACAGCTGTAGCTATTATTTATTCTCTTTGTAAGTCTGTAGAAATATCTCCTAAACGAGAACAACAGTATCTTCTATTGTCCAGAAATGGAATGATCTTCAGTGAGAATCAGCATAGTAGCACCAACTGCTTTTGGAAAGATGCTTTGAGATTCTTACTTAACTTGGATATGAGCAAGTTTTCAGCTTTAGGAAGAGAGAAAAAACTTTACTAAAACTTTGGTTTATGAGGTTGAAAGGCAGCTGATGATTTATTTAGTTCTAAATGTGCCCTTTGAAATTGCTGTCATTTGCTATGGAATGCCATCTAACTTGAAAAATAAGGGAAATAAAAAACAAGGGGGGGAAAAAAAGACCCACCCTTAGCAGAGTGTTGCTGTGATTAAGATTCCAAAACCAAGTTTTAAATTCCACAGTTAACTCATCTTCATGTCTTGGAACATAACAGTTTATAACAATGCAATACAATAATAACCTTAATACCTTGAAACACACATTTACCCACGTGACTGTGGCAGTGTAGGTTATGCTGCTTTTTCAATTTATTTGCTTTAAGTTAAAGATTGCCATACCCCTCCTTTTTGTTCCTTTCATATTTCAGTCTAGATTAATTCTTTGAAACCATCTGTGGTTTGTTAATATGATCAGTCAACAAATTTGTAAAGGCTTTCTTTACAGACATCTTTGTGAAAAGTCAGAGTTTAGATGTTCAAAGTCAGTCACATATCTAAGTGATAAACCACAACTGTAAGGTTCTCTGGCTCAAATATCTGCTTGCAGCAGTGAGCAGCTTTTGACTTAGAGCAGAAATTTTCCTTTTAATTCCCCAAAACCAGCTGTAAAAAATGATAACCAGCTTTTAACTTGTCATCTAAAAGGATTACCTTTAAGCTGAGTAAAGCTGTGTGGTATAGCTCTTTCCACGCTGACAGATGAAGATGCAGCACATTCCCAATATCCTCTGTCCATCAGTGGGATCACAGCTCCTTTGTGAACTGAAACTGCAAAATGAGGAGGGTTCAAATTCTGGAGCTGTGAATGCATCTCTAAACTAACTCTGCTCTTCTCTCTTCTTCAGGATTTGGGGAATATATTTGCAAGTGTAAAGCAAGATAAATCCTTTCAGGTTCCAGCATTTAATTAAGCTTTCAGATATCTTTGTGAGTGAATGAAGAGCATCTAATATGCATGTCTACAGGGAACAGATCAGGAGTACCACTCCATCTGTGAAGTTGTTTGCTATCAGCTGGAAAAAATCTCAACTCAATTAGTCTCTCTCTGTGTTTAACTTCCTCTGGAACATTGCATCTACTATAGCTGAATCCCAATTGAACTAAATGTACTTGAACAAAAAAATACTTTGACTTCCTTCATACCGGCTAGTGTTTCCGGCAGTAATGGGAAATCGGACTTAAGCAGTGGCAGGTAAGCTGCAGGTACAGAAACTAGCATGGGAAGGATGATGTTAAATGATTTTAAAAAAATTTTAGAAGTGTTCAAGGTTGTCTAGCAGATCAGAGCAGAATTGTTCTTTTTTCCTCTCATACACTCTCTTCTTAAGAGTAGATTTATGTAGGATTCCCAAAGTAGGATATAGTTTGGTTTAGTGTCTAACTGAAAACTGTTAAGAATTTGAAAAGGCAAATCCCAACAGCAGTTCACAGGTACCACTGGCAATGCTTTACTCCACAACAGGAGTCAACTTTACCTAGCATAGAGGATTTTCTTTTGTCTAATTGCAGCATGGTAACCATGTGGGAAGAATTCTTTTGGAACAGATGATGTTTCACCACCCCATCCCCATTTAGTACCAAAGTCATGAATGTAAATAAAGACCGGGTTAGAACAGTCTTTTCCCACAGTATGTGGGAAACTGTCCCACAGAACTGTGGGACACTGACATTCCAGAAACTAATTGTCCTGAGAACTGTAAGATGCTGAAAAGTCACAGTCACTAAAATGATATAGAATAGTGCTAACCTTCCCAAGGCAAAATATGAATCAATGTGCCAAATGTCAAACACTTGTACTTCAATTTTTTTATGCCTCAGTACTTCAAAGAGGAGCTATGCAGTTTTCCTGTGTGTGTAAAATATCACCGCAATTCCAACATCATAAACCATTTTCAGCCGTCATAACCAAGTCAAGATTGAGTCTATCTTCATCTGTATTGTTCCAGTTGGCTTCCTTAAATATCCAACACAAGCATTCAAGCAAAATGAAGTAAAGGATTTCCCTCTCTAAAGGTAATCTCTAAATTCAGTATTCCCAAATCAAAGGAATGAATGGCCTACTTGAAAATCAGTCAGCACTGGGCCAACTCTCCTTTTGAGTGCTTCCCCCCACTACAGTTCCTCCACCCACACTGATGTTTTCCTCCTTCTCCTCCGGACACCCATCCCGCTCCCGACTACTCCCATCTGCCTTGCTCCATCCCTTGCAAACTGCATGTAATAAACTCCTGAAGGTATTTTCTTTGTAGTTCAAGTCTTTATTTTTAATCACGAGATCAAAAGGTGTTTCAGTAGGTTTGCTATACACAAATGTTAACTGAGAAGGATTAAGGATAATAAAGTTCTTGGAAATTAACATGAACGTCAAGGAAGATGTAACGTAAGGAAATATTTCCTCAGTTATACTACTGCTCCATATCATCTACCCATGCATACAGACCATGGGCCGTGCCCAGAAGAGTAATGAGACTGCCATGAACAGTAACGGGGTATGCAAAAAAAGCCCCTCTCTCCAAAGTGTCCTTTGGCTTCCGAGGCCTCTAAAAGCACTCACATCGCATTTCCAAGCTGCCTCCCGCAAGCCACGGCTGATTTTTCCCATCAATTTTGGGTTCCATCTGACATTTTTGAGAGCGTGCTCAGCTACGATGGGATACATCGCACACCTGAGAAAGGGTCTGGAAAAGAAGCTGCCGGCTCTGTAACACCAGGAAAATCTGCGGGCTTGTGATGGTCACAGTACAAGTAGCAGCGCTGGCGGTGCCCCACGGGGGGCACTGACAGGAAGCCACCGCACTGCTGACCCCTTTGGACGCGGACAGCATCCAAGTTGGAGCAGTACGCTTCCGACCGCGCCTCGGCCGGCTCCCCCTCAGGGAAACCGCCCCCACCCAGCCCCACCCCACAACGAGGCTCCGCATCCCGGCGTGCCCCGCGCGGTGGGTATCCTGCCGCGCTGCAAACTACATGTCCCGGCGTGCCCTGCGCCAGCGCCGCGGCCGGAGCCGTGGGCGGTGCACGCCGGGACGCGCAGTCCCCGCCACCCTCCCGCGGCCTCCCGAGCTTCCCGCGCATGCTCTGCGCTACGTACGATCTGACGCCACGAGGTGCCACGGGGCCGCGCGCGCCTCCCGCCCGCCCGCGCAGCCAATCAGCGGCGCCGCCCTTCGACCCCGGCGCCGAACGCGAGCTGCCGCGCGCGCCTGCCCGCCCCTCCCGCCGCGCCCGCCGCAGCCGCCCCCCTCCCCGGCCCGGCCCGGCCCGGCCCGGCCCCTGCACCGCGGGCGCTGCGGAGCCGGCCAGCCCGGGGAGACGCCGCCGCCGCCGCCTCCTCTCCTCCTCCCCTCCTCCCCTTCCCGCCCCGGCCGCGTCCGTCAACATGGCGAGCGCCTCGTACCACATCTCCAACCTGCTGGAGAAAATGACATCCAGCGACAAGGACTTCAGGTGGGAACCACCCACCGCCCTCACCCCGCGCCCTCCGCCGGCCCCGCGCCCTCCGCCGCCCCCGCGTCCGCCCCCGCGCCCGCCGTGGGCCCGGCGGGGGTTGCGGCGGCCCGGGCAGTGCCCGACGGGGCCGGCCCGCGGGCCCGCGCTGTGCCCCCCGCGCCGCCACTGCGGGACCGGGCGCGAATGCTCCGCGGCTGCTGCCCCGGGGAGGGAGCTCCCGGGAGCGGAGCGCCCCTCCTCGCTGCCCGGGAAGGACGGGGCGCGGCGGTGCCCGCACGGCCGCGGCCTCCACGCGTCTGGGCAGGGATCGCCGGCAGCCGGGAAAGCCGAGCGGCCCGTCAGGTTTGCTGAGCTGGCGGGGACAGGCGGGGATAAGGTTTGAGTTTCTGGCCTCGCAGATGCTCAGAGGCCGAACGAACGAAGCCCTGAGCAACCGACTGTCACTGACCCTGCGTGGAGCAGCGGAGTCCGGGTGAGGTGACCTCCCAGGTCCCTTCCCAAGTTCAAAAAAATATGAATTCCTACGAATAGGAGCAGGGAGGGCCAGCCAGCACGGCAGGCTTGAGAGGGTCCGGTGGAGGGCCACAAAGAAGATTAAGGGACTGGAGCATTTCTCATTATAAGGAGAGAATGAAGGAGCTAGGCCTGTTTGTTCTAGAGGAGAGAAGACTGAGTGGGGGTCTCATTAAGGCATATAAATACCTCAAAGACAGGTGCCAAGAGAATAGTGCCAGGCTCTTCAGTGATGTCTAGTGACAGGACAAGGAACAATGGCCGTAAACTAAAGCATAAGAAGTTTCACTTCAACATGAGGAAGAACTTCTTTGTGTTGCTCAGTGGGTTAGAGTATGGTGCTGAAAAACCCAAGGTTGTGGGTTCGATTCCCATATGGGCCATTCACTTAGGAGTTGGACTTGATTATCCTTGGGGATCCCTTCCAACTCAGAATATTCTGTGAAATCTGTTGATGGTGGCACTAGAACAGACTGTCCAGGGAGGTCGTGGAGACTCCCTCTGTGGAGACATTCAAACCCCACCTGGATGTGTTCCTGTGTAACCTGCTCTAGGTGACCCTGCCTTGGCAAGGGGATTGGACTAGGTGATTTCCAGAGGTGCCTTCCAGTCCTAAAAATTCTGTGATTCTAAGCAGCTTATATCTTTCCTGGATGCTGCATCTTGTAGACAGAGGGTTCTTATAGTCCTCGCATAGTTTGGTACTGCTTTTGTGCATCCGAAGAGGGAATTCGAGTTAAGTGTTATGGGGACAGGACTGGCATTTAATTTTGAGCTTAGTAGCTGTCACAAGAACACTACTTTTTATTGGATCATTTGTTTGCTTTGTAATAAATTAATAGTAGGTAATATGTAAAGTATCAAAGTGAGATAATACAAGTAAACTGTTAAAGAACAGCACAGAAAATACATTTGCGCAGTAGCTCTAGCAAAGCATTAGGTTAAAAATAATTACATTTTTTTTGTATTGTGTGCAGCCAGAAATTCATATTTGAAGCCTTTATTTGTCAAAGAGGGTACATGAATACAGACAAGGAAAAGACATAAAATTTACTTGTGTTTTGTTGTTTTGCTGCAGCATTACAGTACTTAGTTTATGGTTAAAGTACATGTTGACATCCAAACAACTCCTTGTTAATATATTAAAAACTAAAGGAAACAGAGGTGGTGATCAAATTAACATAGAGTTGGGTTTTGAATAATCCTGTTAGGTTTTGACAAACTGGACACAAATGTGATATATTTATGTGTTTTTTTCATGTCAGTTTCTTTCAGATTGGAATTACCTGGATGATTCAGATTAGAAATTTTGGAAGTACAAAAAATTAGTGTTTAGTCTGAAACAAGACAATCAAGAATTGCCTGATTTTTAAAAAATTATTTCTTTAAATTATTCTGGAACTAAATTCAAACATTTTTTTCTCCGAGTGTTACAGAAGATTTTTTGCTTTTATCATCCTAGTTTGTTTCTGTGATTAAGTCATTTTATTCTTATGGGGAGAATGACTTAGAAAAAGTTATACTGATTTTTATGAGTTAAAAACTTTCTGCATATAAGGGTTAGACCTCTGTCAAGGGTCAGGCCACCTGTCAAATGCAATTGTAGAAAGCACATTTTTCGCCCCAGCTACATGGAATTAAAACTTCTTTTGTAGTTCCTTTAGTAGAGCACACTTAGAAATTATCTGTTCTAGGAGCTTTGAACAACTTTGGAATTCTCAAATATTAAAAAAAAACCCCAGACTAAAATCTAACTTTACAAACCATAAAGAATGCATGATGATAGACCTTTACAAACGGACTGCTATGCAATAACATGTTATATGAAACTTTATCCATTATGCCAATACATGATACATATAAAATAGCATTTACTTTTAGTAATTTTATGTTCATTTACAATAGGATTATGTTTATTTGAAGAGGGATAGAGCAGTTATCTTGTTGATACCAGGGAGCTGAGTATAAACCACTGTTCAAGTAACTTTACTGTAAAATTTTATCCTCCTTTTTTTTGGATAAGCTGACTTGTCCAATGCAAACTTGGAAGATGTACTTCTTTGGAAGTACTTCTTGGAAGAGAAACATACTTGCAGGTGTATTGTCTGCTTGGAAATTCAGGCTTAAATTTTAAACAGGGCAGTATTGTAAGGTGGCAGTTTACATCTGGCTGCGGGAGGAGGAGAATGACTTCTCTGAATACTGGGTGTGAGGAACTGCTGCTGCTCTGCCTGCTTTGCTCCAGGGAAAGTTTGATGTGCCTGCAGAAGCAGCAATTGTGACTAAAAGTCACATTGAAACTACTCAAAACTATGTTTCTAATACCACCTACTTGGAACTAAAGTTGTTTGACCTCCGCATCGCATTGAAGTTGAGTGCAGCAGCTGTTGAAGCACTGAGGATGCACAAACTCTGCCTAGTTTAGGAACTGACAAGTAGATGATTAGTGCATGTGCACTCCTAAAGCTGGGAAATAGGATCTACCGACCAAGGAAGTGAGAGGAGCTAGTTTTGAAGAAAAGGAGATAAATACTGGCAGTAACTTGAAGACAATTTTTGAGTGTTCTAGTACTCTGTAATTTCATATCTATCCTTAAATTCCATCCTACCTGTCCACTACCTTTACTTATGTAGTATTTTTTTCTTGACTGTGCTTAAAATTAATGCTGTTTGCATTCACGGCCTGTTTATGTGCACATCTGTTTCCTGTCAGATTGCAAACTTGCTTCAGTGGGACTGTTGGAGTGAGTGAAAAACGAATGGGGTCTTATTTTAGAAACACCTTGAGACTGTTAGGCTGGAATTACTGTATTAAAAGACAGGACAAACTGAGGTCCATTATATGAAGGCAAGCATCTGGCATTTGTGATGCATATTAAGATTGTGTAGACTCTTGGCTTTAATTTTCAATGAAAAAGCAATATCTGGCATGTCAGGCTGCAGAGATAACCTTCCAAGTAAAACCTGAGCTCAAGTGATTTCTGATTAAGGCCCTGAAGTCCAAATGTCACTCTCAACTGTTTAAATACGAACCCCTGTTATCAGGGGCTTGGAATGGGGTCAGTATTGGTACCAAAGCCCACGGGATTTGTACGTGAGTAATATATCTGTATTGCTGCTGCTGAGAAGAGAGGGCACTTACAAAAGAAGAACAGATTTGGAAGCAGTCATTAGAAGGAAAAGAAACAAAGGGCATAAAACCAATATTTTTGGAAAGTCATTTGTCAGTATATTCTTCTATTAGTGGATATAACTGTTATTAAATAGTAAATTCATTGCCATGGAAGATGATTTTATTTGCTTGATTTCTCGAGAATTAATTTTGTTCTTTACTGTGACACACTGGATTGTGGGATGGGTAAACGTGATCAGCTGGTTTCTGGACTGTAAACAAGCTAGTCTGTACAGGGCAAGAAAATTAAAAACAAATGAAACATAAGCTTAAATATTATTTCTTCATTAATGAATGTTTGGCTTTTGTGAACTTGTGGGAGAATGTTTGAGAAACTATATTTTTCTTCTTGGTTAAAATTTGTTTTAAAAAAAACTCAGAGCAGAGAATAATTCTTTTTAAAAAGTTTTTTAAAAAAGCTTGTTTTTTACAACATCAGCATAGCCAATGAAAGGACTATTTAAAATCTGTGGAAGTGTCAGTTTTTCTTTGTGGACATCATACGGAATATGATATAAATAAACTGGAAGTAAAATACATAGCTGTTCTCATTAGACAAAGATGATGACCTAACTCAAAGTTATTGTCCTTTCCAAATACAATTTTTCAGCTTTCTATTCTGTAAATGCTACTTGCATCACAAAACAGACAACAGTAATCCAATGTTAAAAGTGATTTGTTTGATAATGAATGGTAGAAACAGAGAATCTTGAATCCTGAGCACTGTGTATAACCTGTCTCCTTTTAGCAATAATTATCTGACCATCTTTTGTCAGGTTTATGGCTACTAATGACTTGATGACAGAACTACAGAAAGATTCTATCAAGCTGGATGATGACAGTGAAAGAAAGGTGGTGAAGATGATTTTGAAATTACTGGAAGATAAGAATGGTGAGGTGCAAAACTTGGCTGTCAAATGGTAGGTATTTTTTTTTCTGTGATGTAAAGAATTGTATGATGACTAAACAACATAAAGTACTTTCGAAAAACTCAAAACTACCTCTGCTACACAAAACAATTGTGAAACTGATGTCCACAAAGGAACCCTTGTTCTTAGAGGTTACTTGCCTTAATTGTAGTTTCTTACAGAACTATCTTCTGTTGACATTGGGGATTAACATTTGAGATTTCAGACAGCAAATAGCGTATGCAACCCTTGCTGAAAGTATTTGAGTGACACACTTGTTCTTTGGTGATAATTCTTGAATGCTAAATAGATACAAAAATCTTATAATTCAGTGGTAGTTGCCACACTGGTATTTTTCTGTGAGAAGTTAGATGATGTGTAGGGGAAGAATTGTAGTATTGGAGTAGTTTTCAAGCAGAGATGAAAACACAAAAATGTAAATATGTGGTCTTGGTTATCAAATAAGGAACTTCCCTCTTCATTTACATTCAGAATACTATGTTAATAGTTTTACAAGCTTTACACGAACTGTAAATGTTTTATGGGGTCAGGGTGCAGTTACTTTCAGTTCAGAGATTTCTGTTGCTTCACTACTCTCTCGTTCTCACTTTGTTTCATTTTACATGTGGTGTTACTTTTCCAGAGCACCCTTTGAAGAGGTGCCACGTTTATTATGACTTTCTGTTCTTGGCCATTCTTACTTTTTGTGCCCTTGAAAGAGGTCCTCTCTTATGAAGTTCTAGTGTTTCTGAGAATGTTTCTTGTTTGTGAGCTCAGGTTTTTTTATATTCCATTTACACTACCTGTATTCCATGAGGCCTGGATTGAAGTAAGTTTGCTACATAAGAGCTTGAGAAGCTTCACATTGTGACTAGCTGAGTTTGTTTCAGATTGTTATTCTTTACAGTTTGCCTTGTCAGACTACCAAAGCAGAAAAGGCCTCTGTGTACTTCTGTTTAGGTACTTAGAAACAGTGCTTGCTTCAGCTTCTGAAATATTTTAAGTGATGGTAACCAAAACTTTGCACAGAGAAATTAGTGTAGGAAGGTCAAGTTTCAAGCCAAAGTTTGATATTAGCAGTATTTAGCAATATAATTGTCACTACTTTTTTACTACTCTCACCAGGGGTGCAGTGTTGTTAAAATGTGTCTTCTGCCCCGCCTTTTTTTAACAAACAAGACAAAATGCCATTTTTCTTTTTAATTCAGACTTTTCAAAAGTCTTGAATTCCCCGTGGTACAACTTAAGTTCCATGACTTTGAAACAGATTGCTTGTACTCAATTAGAAGAGTATATTATATGAAACTTGGCTCAGGCTTAGAATTGTCTTTGTGTGAAATCGCATTTTGTGGAAAAGTTTTGTTAGGGCACACGTGCAGTAGTCCTTTTCAATGTACATCCTATAGTTATCAGGAAGTTTAGATTAATGCACATAGACACAGTTTATATATCACAATCTTTAATGGTAGTGTTAGAATTTAGGATCTAAATTGAAACATTAAAGAAAGATTACAAACAGAAGAGGATGAGAAAAAAGAGACCTGCGTGTGTGAACATGTCCAATTTTATTAACAATTCTTCAATTTTTAAAGTTTACTTTGACATACTGATAAAATTTTTTGATTTAATTAATGTGGCAGAATCTCTTTCAAGTTTGGAGTGTTTTCAAGGAATCCAAATAATGTTGAGGAAGGTATACATTGTGGAACTTACCAAGTTTTTTTTGTTTTTGCATCCCAATCACTTGCAGATGTGCTTTAGATAAAAAAAAAACAAACCCGCAACTGTCTTAAGGCGGCTTATACTCACAGTATTGTTCATGACAGTTGTAAGCCAGTCTGAGCTAATGCTGCTCTGCTGTTCTTGTCCTCCTTGTCCTTTTTCTTGCACTGCTTCTCATCTAGTTTTGTTATAGGTTGGTTTGGGGAATTAGTTTTGTTCTGGCTTAGTGCTCTGCTACAATCAGATGAGCTTTGGTAGAAACATTAGTGAGGGTGAAGGATCGGAGGGGCTGAACACTATTAAGCTGTAGTTATTTTGAGACAGTTCAAGCTAATCGAAAGTCTTCCATCTACTACAGCACTGGGTGTAAGCCTGATTCATTGGGAAGTTATGTTCAGCCAGCTATTTTTCTTGACTTTTTTTGATTTTAAATATTTTGTATTCTTCTGTATTTCTGTTACTGATTTTCTGGCACTTTCAACTGAGGAAACTAAGAGATTTAAACACAGTTTAAATTCTATGGCAAACTCTAGAGACTTATCAGCAGTAACTTTCATCAGGCTGGTACTTGATGACCCATTAAGGATTAGATTCCCTCTCTTATAGAAAAAGGATTTACGACAACTCTATGTGCCTTTGAATCTGTATTCAAGATAGATTTTTCTTGAGGAAGGGAGAAAAGTTTTGCAGCTTGTTAGGGGAGCTTCCTTTACAGGTAGATGAATGTAAATGCTCTGAATGGCAGAGGTAAGGATCACTCTTCCAGGGTTTGATTCTTGAGGTCACTGAACACAGCAGATTTAAAACAACTCAGAGCAGCCATAAAACTCTTTATTTTTAGGCAAGTGTAGCAACAAGTAAGCAGTGTTCCTGGTTTTACCTTTTCCCCTGCTTGACTAGGAAGGGCTCTATTGGTTAGAATGCTGATTAACTTGTTTTTTCTTACCTATACAAAGCACACTAGTGATTTTGTTCCTGATCTTTTCAGTTATATTAAACTGATTTTGGGCAGGATAAAACATGTTGTTCTTTAGCAGAAGTGAGTTTTTGAGTTTGTGGATATTTGGGTAGCTATCTTGCAAGATGATTGTCCAGTTCGTTTCTGAATAAAAATGAAAAGTAATGCCTTAGTACTCTTGAAGTAAAAGTCAGTCTGCTCTAATCTTTGTCCTTACAAAAGAGAAAGGGATTTTATTTGTCAAGCTTCTCTTGCAGGCCGTAGATGCAACCTATGTCAGTAACCGCAGGTTGTTTACGTTGTTTTTGGGAATTATATGTAAAATTTTAAATCTGTTCATGTTGTCTACATTTTTTGTGCAGGAATGGTTTTTGCTTCATCTGGTAGTCATAGGCTGTTTTACAGTTAGCTACTGTAGAAAATGCTATTGCATGTTCTTACAGCATGGTATTGTATACACCTTACAGCAGTAGTCATTACACTGCCAGTAGCTTTTTTTTTAAGATTATGTGCATCTGGATTAGTCAAGCAGTGTAGTTTGTCTGAACATAGGTATTGTGTTGAGTGGACTTGTTCTTCCTTGATGATAATGCTGGTAATGTTCTGTTGACCAGAATTTCACATTGATTGTTTCATATGTTCGGAATTGCAGTTTAAAGATGAACTGCTTCTCTTTTTGAGCAGTTTTCTGTGATTTGCTGTCCTGCCACTTAAACCTACACATAGAAATCATTATTGATTCACACAGTGAAACATTTCCTGAAACCTGTAAGAACCCAGGTGCACTCATATATCTATCCGTGGGGGAATTAAAGTACTTTCAGTGATTCCTCCCTTGTGATACTGTAATTTCTCTGCATTTACCAGTGTGACTTCTCTGGGCAGTGATGTATATAAGTAACTCTGCCTGACGCTGTGAGTCTTGAGTCATTGGTGTGAACAGGATGATGCATGTATTGACTGTTGTGTGGCTCATCCAGTTCAGCAGCTTCAAAGCATTTTGAATGCTGGGTTAATACACCACTGCACATCATGCTATACTGCTGATTTGAATAATGTTTTGATTTTCTTTTTTTTTTTTGTGAATTTTAACTCTTCCCTGTAAATAAGTGGGCTTATTTGATAGCTATTAAAATATGCCAGCTTGAGTCTATAATTGATTGAGTTGGTGTCCGTCTTCCTGATAAGGAGCTACACTATCAACACCTTTATTTTCAAATACATGCAACTTAAAGGAGATAGTGTGTTATTGTTTATTTCCATAGGCAGCTGAATGAGCTTTTGACTGAGAGAAACTGGACACAAATTATTGTATGTGAATTATTAGTGAAAAGGAAAAGATCAAAGAGCACTTAAAACAATATCCAAAACAGCCTTCAAGTGTGAAAAATACTTACTTAAGTGCAAAAACTTTGTAGTCAGGATTGATTTTATAAAAGAAGGTTATAGTTTATTTTCAACTTCTGATAAGCTTAGTTTGTAATCTAGGACTAATAATAAAGTCTGTAAGTGATATCTACTGACTTTAAAGGCCAGAAAAGCTTGAGGCGATCAGTTTTTAAAATTTACTTCACAATTGGCATGTCTGCTTGATTGAACTAACAGGTTAAGTAAATAGGACTGAAGGTGCTGACTCGGGAAAAATACAGTTTAACACTTTCTAGAAACTGTAATTTATAGTGTTTGTCTGGATGTCATTTAAGTGGTTTGGTCATCTTTAAAACATTAGCAAAAAATGTTTTCTGTACTTAACTGAGATGAATCTAATTGACTGGTCTTGTCTGTCATTATTTTAGTTACTCATAGGTTACATTTGAAGAATAAACTTCTTTAAATCTGAAGTATTTAGTAGTTGTTCAGCAGTTCAGGTTTAAAATAAGTTCTTGCTATAACTTGAGATGCTTTCACTTAGGAACCAAGAGTTTTTTGGTAGTGACCTGCTTCTGGTGTATCAGAGTCAATGTATAAAAAGATGGTGTCAACTGCAAGTCGCTAGGATGTGGAAGTTGCATTTTTGTAGAGTTGCACAAGCAATTGTAAACTGCAAAAACAGAAGACGTGACCTTTCCGGCCATGGGAGGAGGGATGACATTGCCACCTGGAATTTCACCAACCAGATAGCAAACTCCATCCATACTGATCAAAAGCAAACCTTTAGTATTGCTACTCTGCAGGTTTTGAATATTTTTGAAAGGCTATTGTTACTCAGATTTATTTGAATTTGCTCCCATAATTGTACATGTGCTTGTTCATCTTTCCTAGTGCTTCTATTTACAGTACTTCTGTTGGAGCAGGCAATGTTATGGATGAGAAATGGTTTCTACAGATTCTAACCTTGTATACTGTAGTCTGTTGACTGAAATGCCCAGGGAATTTCTCTGGTTGTGGACAGTCATTGTAACTTGGAATTGTTTTGTTTTCTATTCTAGTTGATTTATGCTTGCGCTGCTTGCAAAACAATTTACTATGCTCCAAGGGTAGACGAGTGCAACAGCACTGTGAGTAGCCACTGGCTGACAGTGGTGTGTATTTGAAGAGAAGCTGTAAATATAGATGTGTCAATGAATCACTGAAATGGGAAAGCTTGGCTGAAGAGTGAAATCAAGTTGTGGAGAAAGCTGTGAGCTTTTTGAGCAAGTGAAAAAAAACGTTTCAACTGCAGTCAGGGATGGCTTGATGTGTTTGTGTCTCAGAGGTAGTTCCTGGTAATAATCTGTGTGTTCGCAAATGCTTTATGTACAGGTTTATCGGGAGTTTATCTGTTAGAGGGAAAAGGCCTTTATCAGTATCAGTGGTAAAACATATTTTAATAACATTGCATTATTAATTTAACATTATCAAAGCAGTAAAATGACCAGATTGGATTCTGGATATGGTTCTCTGAACCCCTACTCTCAGGGGTTTAGTAGCAGTGGAGATGGTTTAATGGAATCTGAAGAATCCAGTACAGTGCCCTTTTCCTAAATTAAAGGGCAGTGTCTGGTTAGGGCCTGAGGTTTGACTGCTTTTAATGAAGGGTGCTCTGTCAGAGCTGTTCATTTCTGTAGGTTCTGCGGAAGCAAGTGAGAAAACATTCCATTACATCTTCATCTCTGTGCACTTAAAGGGCTTCTTTTTATGCCTTTGATCGGATACCAGTCAGTATCTCAGTTAACAGTCCTCTTGAGATTACCCGTATGCTCTATCTTCTAGAAGTGTTGACCCAAAGTTGTTCTTGTGTTTTTATATTAAAGTTATCCCTACATCTCCATAAAATACTCTGCAAAATTACTAAATTGCAGACTTCCTTAATTTATGGCATTGGTGTGATCATAATGTGTCAATTACATATGTCTGTGGCCTAGTTTGACTAATGTCAAATTAGTTCGAAGTTTTGTGCATTAACAGAACTGAGTTAGTTGTAAGTGATATTTCAGAGCATGGTTTTGGTCAATGTGTTTTGCCTTTGCAGCTTTCTTCCCCTCTCCCTGGCCCCACACACGCATTGCCAGTATTTCCTGCAGGTGTTGCCACACAGATAGGGTGGGCGAGGAAAGAAAGAAACCAAGCAGGTTACAGTTTGTGAAGGAAGGCGTGAAGAGTGCTAGGTGTGGTTGCTTTGGGGATTGCATATTCCTGGGTGTTAATCTACGTGCTGTGTCTCAAGTGCAAACAGTGTTCTGAGTTCATGGGTGTAAGGCATTATGAGCATGGCCGTTGGAAGAGAAGTTCCTTAAGTTTGCCTGACGTGATGACAGACCATGCCAAAACTTTGAACCTTACTCTGGTTACTATCATACTATAAGTCATGCGTAGTGCTTGAATACAGAGGCTTGCTTGTCCATATCCTCCTCTGTCTGCATGTTTTGCTTGTTGCCTTTTGCTTCTGCTGGGCATTTTTTAGTAAAAATTAGCTCTTGCCATTGCTAATTCTTGGACTTGGGAAAGAAGGGTAGCAGCAGTGAAGTACATACAACAGGTTTTGGAATGGAAGATGAGTTTTGGATTTGTCCTACTGCACAGAGCCATGACTGCTAGCTATCCAAGAGTGAAGATCATAGATCTTGACCCTTTTGAGTCCATCTGGAATTACTGATTTGAAGTCTTCTGAATCTGAGCCTAGTCCTCCAGTCCTACTCCCTGCAATAGCTCTAACAGTTTAGTCTGAGCTGTCAGAACACTCTTCTTTTTTTTTTTCAGGAGTGGAGAATACGGGTAATCAGATTGGGTGCAGCAGTGTTTTTTGAGGGCCTACAGTTTTCCTGTGGTGTGAGCTGTATGGTGGTGAGGGATGGCTTTGGAATGACTGAGAGGACTTGTGAAGCAAGAAGTGTGGAAGGTTTGGAGAGCTCAGAGTGCATTTGGGAGCCTTTGTAGCAGGATGAATGGAAAGTTTGATGCTCTGAGACTGACGAGAAAACTGAGTTTCAGAGGAACTTGGGTCATGGGGTCTTGGATTTACCCTGTAGGTGCTCCTAAGTTATGTTTGACCAAACCATTCCTGTTTTCCCCAATGACCTCTCAAATGGAACTTGCCCTGACCAGGTATGGGGATTGTCAAATGAACAAAGTTATTGTTAAGTTTGACTATACATTCAAAAGTTAATTCAGTATGGTCCAAGGTGACAAGTCACATTAAATATGGTGAGATAATGCAAAGCATTTATAGGTCAATAGGTGAAATTAATACAATGTAACATTTACTTGTTAACAGCACTTTGGAATTAAGCTACACATCCTTGAGTTTCCACTGTCAAAGTACTGCAGGGGTTTACCTTTTCCTCAACAGTACCAGCAAGGCAGCAGGTGTGTGGGGTGAGAACTGTAGTCATGATAAGTACAGTACTAAGCTCCTGAACTAACTTCACTGCCTTTATGCTGAATGCCACAGCCTTGAGCCTTTCCTTCTGCATAATGATCTGTGACCTGTGTGTTCACTCACGACTGCCTGGCTGACAGTTTTATTAGCTAGTAGTGAACTCAGGGCCCAGCTGTGTTCTTGGAGAGTTAGACTTAAAGCTCTGGAGCCATTTCAAGTAAAACAAACCAACCAACCAAAAACGTTTCAGTGTCATCTTGGATTTTGTGCTTGTCTCTCATTACGTATAAATTAAGAAAGAAACTCTCCATTTGATAAAGACTCAAGTGATTTTTCTGTTACAGTATTGTGGGAATTAGATAAGTACTAAGCATAAAGTAAGTTTTTGACTGAGTGGCATAACTTAATTTTGATTTTGAACTATTTACTGACAGTTCAGCCTTCACTGAGATCTTAGTATCCTACTAGCTTGGGCAGAATTCCTGTTTGCCTATAGATCGTTCCTCCCTCCTCTAGTTTTGTGCACTTTACTTAATGCCTGCACTTTTTTTATTATGAAATTTGCTCTTAATTCAGACTAATTTTCAAAATCTTATGAAATAAAACCAAAGAGTTTTTTCCCTCCCCTATAACCACTAGGGTCTGAAAGGAAGTACTTTGAATCCAGATAGTTTCTTTCCAGTAATCAGGTACAATTAGAATAAGACGTATTGAATTTATTAATTTTACTAGTCCTGCATACTGATATTTGTTTATCAGGGTTTAGTTTTGTATCATGACCTGTCAACTCCATTATTACATTGTACAATCAAATGTATGAAATTGGAAAAGGAGTAAGTTCTTGGAGTTGTTACAGAGGTTTTTAGCAGGTGAATGGGAGGACAGAGGCAATAAAAGGCTTGGGATTTTTTTTTAACTTTCCTTTTGGAACAGAACATTAAGAATGGAGAGATGCTGGAATTTGGTGATAGGGCTAGAAAGGCGGTGAAGAATGCTATAGCTCTTAGCAACAGACCAGACTTTACTAGGACATCTGAAGTTTTAGTATTTTAAACAAATTGAGAGCGTTTGACAAAGGAATACAAAATCGTTGCAATTCTCAAAATGGTTGGGATAACTAAAAACTCACAGTTCAGAGGACAGAGGAAGTGTAATTGTGCTGCATGTATGTGGTGCTTGTAGTCTGTGTGAAGGAGGACATGCCATGTCACATTTTTATTTTAGCATTTGCATTCTAATAAGGAAGGCACTCTCAGGAATGGGAGTCTCAGTGTGTTGAATCCAAGTGTTGCAGAGAATAAAGATGCAGTAATTAAGAATGTTGCTTACTTGTCTGTGAAGTAAGCAAGAGCTGATGGTCAAGCAGGTGAACTGAAGGCTCTGGCTAGGTAATTTTTGTTATAAATCTTGTTATTAGATGAGAAGTAAGAGGGATTCTCGTTTTCAGACTGAAGCAATAAAGTCATGCAAAAACTGTTTCCAGCACCAGATAAAAACCAGGTACTAAATGAGCATTTTGTTACTAGATTTATGGAGACGGATTATCAACCCAACCAGCTGGAGGTTTTCAGATTTTAAAATTCTGCTTTGTATTGCTACCAAACCCAACCTTAAGTTTCTGACTTGAATGCAAAATACTGAGATAAAATGAGATGTTTTATTTAGGGTTGCAGATTTAAAACTTTTCTTCTCTTTATACAGCCTTGGACCTTTGGTGAGTAAAGTGAAGGAGTATCAAGTGGAGACCATTGTAGATACTCTCTGTACAAACATGCTCTCAGACAAAGAACAGTTACGTGACATTTCAAGCATTGGTCTTAAAACTGTGATTGGAGAACTCCCCCCAGCTTCCAGTGGTAAGGCATTTTGTACTCAAGGCTTTATCTAGTTGTGTAATTTACTAATTCAAAAAAAAATACAAAAGCCTGTTTTTTTAGTGAAGAGGATTCAGTTCATTTAGCATTGGAACTAATTCCTGTTAGGGGAAGAATGTATGGCACAAATATCCTTTTAGTTTCTCCTTCTCTGACTGTATTGCTAGATTTTACTTTAAAAGTTTAAACACTTTTTTTTTTCTACTGAAGGTTTGCATTAATGGGGAAAACAAACTTAGAGTATATAAACTTTGGTATAACAAATTGAGTTAAAAACTTCTATTTTAATAATTGTCTGGTGGAGCGTTTCTGGACTGTAGTAATAGCTAAACTTCATCTTGCTTTTTGATTGATAGTACACTTTAAAATTGATTACAACTTGGGTGTTTTTCTCTAACCATCTGATTTCTTGTCTCAGTTTCTGGGAAGTGTTTTGGAAAGTACCTTGTGAATTACTGAAATGCTTAACTGCAGGTTTAAATGATGGCAGTCTTTCCTTCAAAAGAGATATTAATGTTGAACAACTTATCACTTAATGTCATTACTTTTTATTCAAGTGCTTTTCAGATATCAGTGTAGAATAGGAATGAGAATAGAGAAGTGATTAAAAAGGCTTTGGAAATGACATTTTTAGAGACTGAGGTCTCTTAAAGAAAAGAACTCTGATTTTAATATCCCTTTTGAAAGTTGACATGTAAATCCTGCTTTTATCAAGCAGTAGTGAGATGCATAAACTTTACATAAGGAACTAATTTTAAGTAAATTGCTTTAAGCTTTTGCACTTTTGTTTGCCTACACAACATAAAAGGACATTTTTGGGTGGAGGTAAAGCTCAAACAAAAATGCAGAAAAATATTTCAATATAATTAACATTCCTAACATAAAAATAAACATATTATTTCTTTCTCTCAACTCAAACATAGATTGTTGCCTTTTTTCTTAGCCTTTGTGGTAAGACATTTGACTGTCCAGTTGTTACGTTTTAGTTTCAGTCATAGTTAAGAATTAACCATAATACATATAAACCAGACTTAAATAGGTTGGAATGGTATTAATTTCACATTGAGATTCTCAAAGTGTGACTAAAAAAATTTCATGCATGTGAAGATGAATGCAAACTGTGTTGTTACCATTATGTGAATTCCTTCTCATAATTACTTGAAACGACGTTAAACAGTTTGAGGAAGGGGGAACGATAGAGTTGTTGTAAAGACATTTTTTTCTTGTATTTTAAAATACTTTGGATGTACCAATTTTCCCCCTTTTCTCAAATGTTTCAGCAGTATTTCACATACTTATTACTTAAGAAGCTTCTTGTGCAAAATAATTTTATTTTACTTTTTCATTATACAACCATTCTTTAGAGGTGGCTCTTCTGTGTTTCTCCTTACCATATGATTTATCTCTTCATTTTTACCTGTAGTTCTTTCATTTATTGCTCTAGACTTGTCTTGGCCTTCTCTTTCCATTGCTTGCCCTACCAAAAGCAGTGTCCTTTCTGTTGTATATGCCTTCTGGGACAAGAAGCTCTCCTCAGTATGTTTGTACATAAGTAGTCTTTTAACTCTAATGCAGAGCACATATGACATTAACAAACAAACTGACTGTGCAGGCTTGTTTTGTTGGGAGGGAAAAGCTTCTTTATGCTGAGATTAGGTTGCTTTCCCTAGTCACAGACATGATCTCTGGTGTTAAAAACTCAGTTCTTTTAATATTATGAAAATGCTGAGGTTTTGTTGTACTTTCAGGTTCTGCATTAGCAGCTAATGTTTGCAAAAAGATCACGGGACGTCTCACGAGTGCTATAGCCAAGCAGGAAGATGTGTCTGTTCAACTGGAGGCACTGGATATCATGGCTGATATGCTGAGCAGGTAAACATCCCTCTTTTAATGTGCTGGTGAATGCTGATAAATACTCCTTAAAGCTTGAACTTAAGTCTTCCAAATGTAAAATTAAATTTGTTGCAGTTATACAAAATAATATGGTAAGGTACAGGTGAAACTTAATGTAGAAAAAAAATGAATGTATTGAAGATGATTTATAGAATGATTCCGTTATTATTTAATCTTCTAAGCACTGTAATTTTAACCTTATTTTAATGTTTATTTTTATATTTATCTATTTATATTTTAAACTAATTTCTTCTTTTAAAAAGTTCCTAAAGCTTAAATTTAAATAATTAATTGGAATCTTTGTGATATTTTGGGAATATTTAAAGATTGTTGTACAGTATATGAACAAAGTTATCTAGATTCAATTGGTTTGAGTTTGTGTTTTGTCTGTTTTAAGGCAAGGAGGACTGCTTGTTAACTTCCATCCTTCAATTCTGACCTGTCTGCTCCCCCAGCTGACCAGCCCAAGACTTGCTGTGAGGAAAAGAACCATCATTGCTCTTGGTCACCTGGTTATGAGTTGTGGCAATATGGTTTTTGTTGACCTCATTGAACATCTGTTGACAGAGCTGTCTAAAAATGATTCCATGTCAACAACTAGGACCTATATACAGTGTATTGCTGCTATCAGTAGGCAAGCAGGTCACAGAATAGGTAAGAAAAATTTATAAATTATCTTTTACTTTAAAGTTTTTAGGGGAGAGTAATTACTTAGCTGATCTTTTTTTCTCTTACCAGGTGAATATCTTGAGAAAATAATTCCTTTGGTTGTAAAGTTTTGTAATGTAGATGATGATGAACTACGGGAGTATTGCATTCAAGCCTTTGAATCTTTTGTTAGGAGGTAAGTCGTGGGTACCTATTTCAGTTTTTCAAATCTAATAGTGTGCCATTGGATTGTAAGCTATCAAAAGACAATCTCCTTCACAGAAAATATTTTTGCAAGCTTTGAGCTGGAACTTTCCTGTAACTCTGCCTTGTAACTTAACTGTTAAACAGTGTGTTAAACATCTGTACTTTAGAAATTTTCTTCTGTGCCATTGCTACTGGTGCAAATAGGAGGTGGGAAGTATATTTGTGTCCAATTACGGTGACAAATTGGTATCCAGAGGCATATCTTAGTCCTTTGCAATCTTCCCATCTAGCAGATCCTGTTAAACAGTAGCACTGTCCTCTCGGAATTTCGGTAATTCAGATGGGTGCATTGATGTAAGTTGTGTTGGCCAGTGTCTCCAAAGTACGGTATGTGGCATGAAGTCTTTTAGGAATATTTTAGTTCCTCAGAGTAATTTGACACTGATTGTACTTTGTGTTGTGCAGGTGTCCTAAAGAAGTTTATCCCCATGTATCTACTATTATAAACATTTGTCTTAAATATCTTACGTATGATCCTAATTACAATTATGATGATGAGGATGAAGATGAAAATGCTATGGATGCAGATGGTGGTGATGATGATGATCAAGGTATATTCTCTTGTTGATTTGGGGGTGAGGGTGAGCTTGTGATCATGTACCTGTCTGAAAAAATTGGTGTAGGTGGTATTGCTACTAAGTACCAGCATTTGAGTGACTTGTATACTTTCATATTCAATTTTTGTACCTCTTTTAAACATACTTTATGAACTTACCTCTTGAAATAAAAGTATAGGATATTGTTGCTCGAGATCAGTAATTCCAAGGGTGAACACAAAATACAAGATAAATACTTTAAAAAACTTGAAAGGCGAAAAAAGACGGAAGAGTAAAGCATGATATAACTAAAGTGAGAAGAACATCAGTTCATGAATTGAAAATACATATACAGCATGGGAAAGGCTTCTCACTACTTTCCACTATAATATAATATTGTTACCTAATACATAAAATCAAAATACATTGAAAATTGCCTAGTATTTTTCTGTAGGATGAATGTTTTAGACTGAAAGGCATAATGTATTTATTGTTAATACAGTGACAAACATTTCCATATGTAAGTTTTATGAAAATTTGGACACACAAGTAATCTGAACTGAGAGCATAACATTCTCATTACTTAAGGAAAGAACGAGCTGCATAGTTGTTGCTTTTGCACCTGAGAAGTCTGTGTAATTTTGTTGTTGTTGTTGTTGTTGTTATTTTTGGGGGCATGAAAAGAAAGAAGCCAACAGAATAATTTGCTGAATCTTGATCAGCTAGTATTAGTTGTTGCATTGTTGTTTTTGTCACAAATAAAGAGGAATATGCTTTAAATCAGTAGTCAGGCTGTAAATATGATGGGAACCTCCTTGTCCTGTTTGCAATTTAAATTAATACAACTGTAAGACCAGCGTGAAAAAATTGGCAAAGAATTACAACTTAGGCCGTTTAGAAGGCTTTTTATATGTATGGCTTTTAACATACTTCTGAACCTATTACTTCATGTGTCTTATGCAAAGAACCCAACTGTCTTCTTTTTTAATTGTTCAAAATAAAACTTGGTGCTTTGCTTGTCTAGACTTGAACTTATGCATAATTTATTTTTTTAAGGGAGCGATGATGAATATAGTGATGACGATGACATGAGCTGGAAAGTGAGGCGTGCAGCTGCTAAATGTCTGGATGCTGTGGTTAGCACACGACATGAAATGCTTCCAGAATTCTACAAAACTGTATCTCCTGCTTTAATAGCCAGATTCAAAGAACGTGAAGAGAATGTCAAAGCAGATGTTTTTCATGCATATCTTTCTCTTTTAAAACAAACTCGACCTGTGCAAAGTTGGCTTTGTGATCCTGATGCAATGGAACAAGGAGAGACACCTTTGACAATGCTTCAGAGTCAGGTTATTTGTCAAGATTTTTGTTATCTTTGAGAAGACATACTGAAGTTGCGCCATGTTCATAGGGATAGTTCATTAAATGTGCCTTATGCTTTCTTCATGTTCGGGTTATAGTTTATTCCTGTAGTATTAACATAGAGAGGTAAACTGGCCCAGGTAAACTGGCCCAAAAAAGTGCAGCAGTCTTGGAAACTGAAATTTCTGACTCATGCAAATGTCCTTATTTGATTTCAGTTGTTTACTGTCACCTGTGAAAGTTGCATGTCCTATGTCATTCAGCCAAATTACCAAAGCAAAATAGTTACTTTGTGCATTCTGTGTGCAGACATAAGCTCTAATGATCAAGATAAAACTTGATTTCCTACAACATATTTTATTTGCAGAATAAAAAAGATAATGCTGAAAAACTTTTTCTAAATAAATTATTTGGGTGGCTTTTCGGTTGTTACTCTCTACAGTTTTATTAATGCAAATCACCTTTTACAGTTAAATTACTATTTTTTAAAGCAATTATTTTGACTCTTTATTTCCCTATGTTTCTGTAACTTCTCTAGTTCTGTAGAGAAATCAGAGGGGTAGGGTGCATGCATTTCTTTGTATCCTCCCTAGTAATCAATAATGGAAGAAATGCCAGCTATTGAATCAATTAACAGATGTGTGATGATTACAGGTCCCCAACATAGTTAAAGCCTTGCACAAACAGATGAAGGAGAAAAGTGTGAAGACTCGTCAGTGTTGCTTTAACATGCTGACTGAACTAGTAAATGTGTTACCTGGAGCCCTAACACAGCATGTTCCTGTACTTGTACCAGGTATGAGAAGCATGTTAATAACCTCAATATTTGTTAAATTGGATGTGAAATTTTGAAACGTCAGAATGTTCAAGTCCTGACACTGCTTTTTGCAAAAGCCTTGAAGTGGGGCTTCTATTTAAAGAAAATGGCAAAATAACCAGCTACTATATGAATTCATATATTAGTGACATATTTCCATTAATCTTGAAAACAAGGCTTGTCTCCAAGATTGATGTTTTTTCCCTGTATTAAAAAAAAAAGTTGATTTTCTTCTTAATTACAAGATCAAGCTGCCTTCTTTCTCATCCCGAAAGAGCAAAATATTGTCCATCTTTTAGCTTTTGAAACTTGAAATGTTGAAGTCTGAAGTAATGATGAAAAGTAAGGTTGGAAATGTTAAAGGTTCAGAATTTCCTTATAATTAAGAAAATACATCACAAACCATCAAATTGCCCATATCCTCTGGAAGAGGAAGCTTAAAAACTAATTGACTGAATTAAATTGCTGAAAGGGACTTAAAAGCATTTAAGGAGGGTTGGGAGCTGGAAAACATGAATTCAGTATAACTGCTCGCCTTTGGAAATTTTGAAGTGTTTTAGGAGACTATAAATGCCTACCCTAAAAATAAATTTTTTGTTTTTCTTCCAGGAATAATTTTTTCACTGAATGACAAATCAAGTTCTTCTAATCTGAAGATAGATGCTTTGTCCTGTTTGTATGTGATCCTCTGCAATCATTCTCCCCAAGTCTTTCATCCTCATGTTCAAGCATTGGTACCTCCGGTTGTAGCTTGTGTTGGAGACCCATTTTACAAGATAACATCAGAGGCACTTTTGGTTACCCAACAACTTGTGAAGGTTATTCGTCCATTAGATCAGCCTACTTCCTTTGATGCTACTCCTTACATCAAAGATTTGTTTACTTGTACAATCAAGAGATTAAAGGCTGCTGACATTGATCAGGAGGTCAAAGAAAGGGCAATATCTTGCATGGGTCAAATAATTTGTAGCCTTGGTGACAGCCTAGGCACAGACCTGCCTAGTACGCTTCAGATCTTTCTAGAGAGACTGAAGAATGAGATCACTCGGTTAACTACAGTGAAGGCCATGACATTAATTGCTGGTTCTCCTTTGAAGATAGATTTGAGACCAATCCTTGGGGAAGGAGTTCCTATTCTTGCTTCTTTTTTGAGAAAGAACCAGCGAGCTTTGAAACTGGGCACTCTTTCTGCTCTAGATATTCTAATTAAGAATTACAGTGACAGCTTGACAGCTGCCATGATTGACGCTGTCCTGGATGAGCTTCCACCTCTGATTAGTGAAAGTGATATGCACGTATCACAGATGGCCATCAGTTTTCTAACAACACTGGCTAAAGTATATCCTTCCTCCCTGTCAAAGATTAGTGGCTCCATTCTCAATGAACTTATTGGGCTGGTAAGATCACCTCTACTTCAGGGTGGAGCACTTAGTGCCATGCTAGAATTTTTCCAAGCTTTGGTTGTGACTGGTACAAATAATTTAGGCTATATGGATTTACTGCGCATGTTAACGGGTCCAGTGTACTCACAGAGCACAGCACTTACTCACAAGCAGTCTTACTATTCCATTGCCAAATGTGTTGCTGCCCTTACTCGAGCCTGCCCTAAGGAAGGACCAGCTGTTGTAGGTCAGTTCATTCAAGATGTTAAGAACTCAAGGTCCACAGATTCCATTCGTCTTTTGGCTTTGCTTTCTCTTGGGGAAGTTGGGCATCATATCGACTTAAGTGGACAAATTGAGCTGAAGTCTGTAATACTAGAAGCATTCTCTTCTCCCAGTGAAGAAGTAAAATCGGCAGCATCTTACGCCTTAGGCAGCATTAGTGTTGGCAATCTTCCTGAGTATCTGCCATTTGTCCTACAAGAAATAACTAGTCAACCTAAGAGGCAATACCTTCTTCTTCATTCCTTGAAAGAAATAATTAGCTCTGCGTCAGTGATTGGTCTCAAACCATATGTTGAGAACATCTGGGCCTTACTCCTGAAACACTGTGAATGTGCAGAAGAGGGCACAAGGAATGTTGTTGCTGAATGCTTGGGCAAGCTTACATTAATAGACCCAGAGACTCTGCTTCCACGACTCAAGGGATACTTGGCATCAGGTGAGTAGTAGTAATGCATGTACATATTGTGGCTTTAAGGCAAATGGCTTTGTGCTGTTCTATTAATAAATTGATCTAGTTTTGCAAATGATGTGCCTAAATTTTGTGATAACTCTTCAAGTTTTGCTCCTCCCCACTCAACAATGGAAACTTAGGTGCTTCAGTTTTTACTAGAAGTTGCTAGTCATACGTAAAAAAGAATTACTTCTGTGTTCTACTTTCAGACTGGTGTTTCAATTAACAATGTTATGTTTAAGAAAGATCTACAAACTTAAAAGAGAAGGAGCATGAATGACAAAGGGACAAATTAAAAAACCAATTCGCAACATATAGACCTTTTGGTGTAAATTATTTGGTGTATTCCTATTTTTCAGATAGGGATTCTGAAATTTTTAAGGATTAGGATGGATCATTGTGCATGAGTCATGAATCAGTTTTGTATCAAGAACTGCATTCACATTTACTTCATGTGCTTCTACTTTTAAGGGGAGAGGTGTTTTTTTCCTAGGCTGACCTATGATCATACATAAACTGTTCTAATAGGCTTATTACTCAAATTTTCTGTAGCAGATAACATTACTTGCTTATTGTAGGTTACGGTATTTTTCCCATCTTTGAAATGTTTTCTCCGTAGATTTACTTGAGTTACATATTGCATTACTAGTGATCAATAACATTTCTTGTTTGGTGCTCTTAAGAGTATTAGAAGTCTAAAAAGAATAAATGGCACTGAGCATGATTTAGATTCTGTAGTTGTTCTGTTTTAGTCTTGTATATTCACAATTTCGTTTTGTATTAGGGTCCTCATACGCTCGAAGTTCAGTGGTTACTGCTGTTAAATTCACTATTTCTGATCATCCACAACCCATAGACCCACTCTTGAAGAACTGCATAGGTAAGTTCTGACAGCTTTTTACTGACAGCTTTTTTGTTTCCAGGCAGTAGAATTACATTTAAAATTTGTTCTTTGTGTTATCAGAAGTAAATATTTTGCAGATGCTAGGATTAGCTGCTAATAATAACTGTTGGAAGTGTTACAAGATGTTTCTATAATAGCCAGTTATTTCTATTAATACTAGTTTGTTTGAATTCTGAGCAGTAATAAATATATGATTCTATAAATTGAAGCTGTGATGGACAATACAAAAAGCTAAGACTTTCAGGAGATGGAACCCAAAATCTGATTTTTTTCCCGTGTTTTTGACAAATTAAATCAGTTTGATGTAGTAGAGTGTACTATCTTTGCCCAGACATGTGGTCTTGGAAATATTTGACATTCAGTCACTTAAAATATGCATGTGTGAATTCAGAGTGTTACCAGGTTTTGAATTGTAAATATAGGTCGTTATGATTTTGTAATGCTTGTGATCTGAAAGCATTTGGAATTGTGTGTATTTTTAAAGGGATAAGGTAATCAGAGCTTTCAGTATAACATCAGTATGATAAAGAGCCTTGCAATGCTGTGGCTTTTTGAACTTATTTCATTTGTATAACAAAGATTTGTTTAATATGCTATGGTGAATGTTTTATACTTGATTAATTACAGATTTAAAGATAGGTAAAAAATTATCTATACTGCTAAGCCCAACAGGAGGGAGAAGATTTAACTTCAAGAGCATAAAGTTTTGTGAGGAGCAAGGTTTCTATTTACGGTTAAATGAAGTAAATTCCTATGTGTTATTTTCATCACTAAGCTTTTTTTTTTTTTTTTTTATAATACGTTCAAGAATTGCTTATGCTTTAGTTTTTTTCCACTCCCACTGAAGCTGCCTTGCGCCTTTGGTTTCTGCAAATATTCATTGATTATTCAGTCAAAAAACTATTGGTATCTAGTACTTAAAAAATCTTAGTCATCTTGAGTTTTGTTACTCCAGTTTACTTTGTGCGTCTAGAAGTCACTTTCTTGCTTACACCTTGTTGGTTTTCTCCTTTGAAAAATTTCACTCCTCATGGAGTTAGCTAGTAAAACTTCACAAACATTGAGGGAAAAATAGGATATATTCATGCAGCCGTTTATTTTAACAAGGCTATATTATAGAAGTATAGAAAATCTAATTAAAAAATGTCTGAGGGTAGAGTGGGATGAGAAGGTGTTGCTCTGTTAATACATACTGAGTAACCTTATTTTATGGTAATTTTGATATTCTCAGTATATGCCAATTTATGGGTTTAAAAATCAGTGTGTTGATAGTTTTCATGAGAGGTGTTCTCAAATTCATAAACTGCAGAATTGAGATAGGTTTTCTAATGCATATTCTGAGAAAATTTAATCGATAAAAGCAAAGGTTAACTATAATTTTCATTAATGTGCATGCTGTATCTTTAGAAAACAAGTTGAAATACCATTGTGATGACCATTTGTTGTGATGGCCATTTGTTTTGATGGCCATAATGAAACTGCTGTTTCATTATACAAAATACTGTATATCAATTAAATTAATGCTTTTCCATATGAGTGTGGTTTTATTTGTGTAATCATGCTGAAATAGCAGGTGTCTGTCACATTAAAATAACTCCTGCACTAAATATGTCTTTTTTGAAAGGTTAAAGATAAGCAAAGATATTTTTAAAGTTGCAGATTGAAAGGATGCTCATAGGTTATTTATTTCTGTACGATTGCAGGTGATTTTCTGAAAACATTGGAGGACCCAGATCTCAATGTCAGGAGAGTAGCCCTGGTGACGTTTAACTCAGCCGCCCACAATAAACCATCTTTGATAAGGGACCTCTTAGATACTGTGCTTCCTCATCTTTACAATGAAACAAAAGTCAGAAAGGAATTAATCAGAGAGGTATGTAAACTAAGAAAAACAGTGCTAAATATATGTAAGTAGATAGATTTTTTTTTTTTAATATGTATTACTTAACTTTGGTGTTTCTGTTTGCTGACAGGTGGAAATGGGACCATTTAAACATACAGTTGATGATGGCTTGGACATAAGGAAAGCGGCTTTTGAGTGCATGTATACTTTACTGGATAGCTGTTTGGATAGACTAGATATATTTGAATTCTTAAACCATGTTGAAGATGGCCTGAAGGATCACTATGATATTAAGGTTAGCTGTTATTTTTCTCTGTGAAAGCAGTGACTTATGTCAAAATATTTTAAATAGTGAATAAACTGACGTGGTAAAAAAATTACTTCATATGCTTAAGTACTTCACTACATTTGCCATTTTCATTAAAGTGTGACTGTTTGAAAGGTTACACAGCACTGTAGGAAATATATCTCCACGTATGTGCTAGGCATGACTAATAGTTGTATTGTTTTTTTCCTCAACCTAGATGCTGACCTTTTTAATGTTAGTGAGACTGTCTACCCTTTGTCCAAGTGCGGTGCTGCAGAGATTGGATAGGCTTGTTGAACCTTTGCGTGCTACGTGTACAACTAAGGTACTTAAATTCATTTAAGTTAATTACTTTGTGTTGTCTTACAGAAATACAAACGAACTTGTTGCAGCATTTTTTGAGTTATGATTGATAAGCTGGAGTAGGCAGGATAATATAAGTGTGCCTTTATACGTGTGTTAAATTTATTTAAATTACAAATTGGGAGGCAGCTTTGTTAGCTTCTTTTTAAAGATTCTCTGTTTCTTTGATGTCCTTTCTTCTGTTCCTTAAAAATTTAGCTGCCACTTGGGCAACATGTAAATCTCATGTCATTATAAGTAGTGAAACTGGAAGACTGGGAGTTTTTCTGAGATCTGATGGTTGTTTCAGACAAGCATTTAGATGATGAAGGCAGTGTAAAGTAGCTCTGTTTTTGTTGGGTTTTTATTGTTTATCCTGCCTCTTCATGTATATTACAAGATTATTGGATCTTGGCACAGTTGGTCTCCTTCCATTCCTGCTTGTCTTGATCTACCTGTGTGCTGTGACAGTCATTGAATGCTATTTACCTTGCTTTTCCGTTGCTGTAGTCTTCTGTATTTCATATCAAGAAAATGACTGCCTTTAATGATAATTTATGTTTGTGTCACTAAAACATCTTTGAAAATTGTAACAGAAGGTTAAGCAGTTACTCTGAGGTCAACTTTTTATAAGTTCTGTTCTCTGGAATCTGTGAATAATGTGATAATGGCAGTTTAATGTCATTTACTGACCTTACTGGGTAAAGGTTGGCTGCTGTAATTGCTTTGATTTGGCGACTGACTTGTTAGTTTACAGCCTTTTTCTGCTTACCTTGCAGTATTGAAGCTTCAATCTGTGTGTAAACAGTTCTGCTAGAAAGATGTTTAGGAGATTTTTTGTTTGGTTGTTTTTTTAAGAGCTTAGGTCATTTTGAAAGCTGTGCAACGTGGTAGTATGGAGGGAAATAGATTTTTGTAATATACATTTTTTTAAGGTGGACATAGGCAGAGGTTTAAGTAACGTTTCAAACATTTTTTCATTTTTTTCCTTAGGTAAAGGCAAACTCGGTGAAACAGGAGTTTGAAAAGCAAGATGAACTAAAACGATCTGCCATGAGGGCTGTAGCAGCACTTCTAACCATTCCAGAAGCAGAGAAGAGTCCATTAATGAGTGAATTTCAGTCACAGATAAGCTCTAACCCTGAGCTGGCAGCCATCTTTGAAAGTATCCAAAAAGATTCATCATCCACTAACTTGGAATCAATGGACACTAGTTAGATGTTTGTCCAAAATGGGGACCATTATGTTGAACCATATAATGCACTGAATTGACAGGTTATAAGTAAGAAACAGAAAAAGCATCTAATTACACATTGTTCCACTTCATTTACCTTTATGGAGACAGTTGGCTTTTCCCATAATTGCTTTTCTAGCATTTCCAGAAATGTATTTCCATAATCCAGAATTCGTTAACCACTCTTTGTTTTAGTGGATTTGACCACATTTGGGAATTAAAAAGTTGATGCATGATGTATGGAAATAGGTTCCAACATCCATTTGCCCTGTAATGTTTAGGATTAAAATGTCAAAATTTTGTGACCATGATTTTTTTTTTTCTTTTGTTCACTCTTTCTACTTGTAAACAAAAAAGGGGGGGAGGTGGGAATCAGATGTCCAGGTGCACCATGTTTTTTGTATAACTTTTTATTCTTTTTTGTTTCAGCTTCATAAATTGATTTGGCTGGCAGATGAATTATGTGTAAGATTTATTATATTAAAAAGGTGGTTTGGGCACAGTTCAAAAAAAGCAGACACAAATGTCATTTTTACAGATGTGGGGATTAGAAAACCAATATCCCTGTTGTGCACACTAATTTTGCATGAGCAAGTTTACAAATATATATTGTCTGTAAAACAGCATGTGCAGTTTATTCGTAATGCAAGTTAAAATAAGTTCTACTGTATCAGTGCAGTTTTCAGGTATTTTGACATACAGGCCACTCATGCAGGAAGGGATGAATTAAAGTTTGTTCTCTTAACCTGGCTTTTTTAAATGCCAGTAATATAACACTGCAGATATTCTTACAGTAAATGTGACAATTTCTGCAGTTTCCATGGGTGTTCATTCTCAAAGACTGGATCCACTGGAATTGAGGTGGACAAACCATAAGATTGGAGGGAAATCGGATGAGGTGGAGGTAAAATGAGCAGAGAAAACAATAGCTGCTCAGTGGCTCCTAAACTCTGGATTCAACTGTGCTTTTGTTATAAAAGTATGAAGGAAGTTTCTTTAGTGGATTCTATCTCCTGTTCTTCATCCAACAGATTTTGTTAAGGCACTAATATATGGTGCTACCTAGACAAGTATTGCCAGACCATCATTTTGTTCCTGTTGGAATGTTTTCTGGCACGTGGGACCACCAGTAGGTTGCAAAGCTGCAAGTGTCATACAGTATTCTGGTGAGACAGGAAACAGGGAATGGTCAAAAGAGTGGAGAGAGATAAAAAAGCCAACAGAAGAAAAAGTTCTTCTGTGAACATGCTGAGGTATTTTATAAGCAGACCAGAAGTGGATAGCTGGCAGTCCTGCCATGAACTAGAATTGGGAATTCAATAACAAAAAAGAGAGGAGCCACTGCCTCAAATTGACACTTACCATTACTTGTTAGATGCAACTGCTTAGTTGTCTTCTCCCCCTCCCCAAATCAGATCTGAATTTGATTTTTCTTTAGTTAACTGGTATTTTTTAGCTAGTTTGGTATTTTTGAAACGTGGGTACGTGGCGTAAGCTGCTACATGACTAAACAAGCATACATTCTTATGACCTCAGAGACAGTTTCCTGTGAGCATTGGGGCTTGGGGGCAAAATCTTCACCTTACATGCTTGCAGCTTGGGAAAAGCAGAGTAGATATTGGTACATTTTACCTTAATAGAAGGACCTGAACAAAGAAATCTTTGAACTCATTGAATAGTAACAATTCTAATGCTGTAGAATTTTTTGAAAATGTAGCTTTCTCTGTCTCCAAAGTCTTCATACTGATGTAACAATTGTCTTCTAGAAGTAGTAATAAATGAGATTAAACATACCAACATATCTAAATGTCATAAAAAGGAGTGGGACGACTAGAGAGAAACCATATGGTAGAAAAAGCACTGTGAATTAGGTGCATTTTATCTTACTGTGTAACTCATCTACTTCAATTGCAGCAATATACAGGCCTTCTAATTAAGAATCTGTTGTGCTAATTAGTTGTCAACTAATCTTAGAACTTTTTGTGTTAAGTTTTCAGAGTACATTAAAATGTTTTATAGACCTAAATCTAGGTGTGAGAATGATATGATAAACATGAAATGCGAGGCTAAAATAGGAAAATGGAGTAGGTGACAATGGTAAGCGAACAGAATATTCGTAGCTGAGAGATTCTGTGTGTGCGTTACTACCATAACATAACACAACACCTAATGTGGTGGATGCAAATCATCTTCACTTTGTTTAACAGTACATTACAGTGGAGCAGCTTAAGGACAGAAGAAAAGGTTGAGTTGTATTACTGTAGTATTTGTTTTCTTGCAAAAGACTAGTTTTCACTTCAACCACTGATGAAGAAGGTGGGAACAGAAGGATTAAGTCTTGCCTGTAAATTGCAGAAATTCCAACATAGTAGCAGTTGGTTATTTTGGTGATTCAGGAAGACAGACTCATAAAGGTTGTTAACTGCACCATAATTACTGGATTTTCTTATTAGTGTAAATCTATCCATGTTAGGTGTTGAAATTCTGCTGACTTTCACTGAATCACTTGATTGAAAGGTTTTTTTTGTTTTCCCCACTGTATGTCTGAGTATTTGTATAAATCTGGTGTATTTATACTTTTAGAGCAATTAGGTTCAGGTAATTCTGTTAAGGATGGTGTCAGCTGTTCTTTAAGTGCTAAATATTTGAAACTAAAACACTACATTTCACTATCTAAAACAAAACCAGAATTCTGAAAGGCTACTCTTAAGATGATTAGAACTTTTGGTATGATTAGAACTTGCTCTAGTATTTTTCATCACTTGGCACATAGACAGTTGAGACCAATTAATAAGCTTGCACATAATATAGAAATGGTTGACCAATCCTTGCATTGCAGATTCTAGGCTTTAAATATTTTTGTATCTCAAAAATACTTTATGCTCTGTTTTTCCATGAAAAAAATTGCCATCCTTACAAGGGAGTTTTATTTTCTAAAATTATAAATTGAAAACTACTAGTACTTCAACAACACTGCATTTCAAACATGTAAATTTATTTTTTATATGATTTTCCTTCAAAATGCTGCATCTAATATAGCAGTTGACAAAATAAAGAGGTGAACTGCTTCCAGTTGTATTTTTATGAGATGAACAAAGCAGTACATACGCACCTAAAGCAGCATTGCTTCCCTCAGATAAAGGATTATTTTCACATTTCCTCAACTCAAATTAAAAATGTGAATTCAAATTCCATATCTATTCCTATTGTATTTACCTTAACAGATATTCTCAGTAATGATGGTAGGAACAAGTTCACCCTGATCTGGTGGACTTCTTAGTAGTGAGGATTTAGCAGCTGTTCTCATCTTTACTGGTACTTCCCCTTCCTTCCCTCTACTTTAGATAACTTTAAAAGCAAAGTAATATGTGACCTTGGAAGTGTGTGTTTATTGTTTTTGGTTTGTGAATCCTCATCATTCTGACTGAAATGACACCTGTTTCTGCCAAATACCAAACAGTTAAGCCTGCAGCCTCTGGGTTTTATTTCCCTATTGCTCTAAACATCAGATAAAATGTACTTTTGTTGTGGTTGCTGTTCTTAAAATTAATTTCGGAGAAATGAAAAATACTAGTCAGTTTATTACTTTTTTTTTTCCCCCCCTTGTTTCCTTCTTGTTGTGAGGTGGGAAAATTTGCTTGCTGTACTATTGAACACGAGGAGGCAGAGATTCTGGCAGCAAGCTTTGCTCCCTGCCCTAGAAGAGCTCTTCGGTATAGAGTTATAGCTCTTGCACTAAAACTGACCTTTTTGCATCAGAATCCATTTATAATTTTTCATCATATCTGGCTTTGGGGAAGGAGAAAGAAATCGGAATTCTTGAGAATAATGAAGTAAATTAATCTTCCATGGCCTGTGTTGGTGAAGCAGGGAAGCTTTCTGCAAGTGGGACTTTTGTGAGAATCAGGCAATTTTGTCTTGATAGGGAGTAAGACTTCTTTAGATTTGTTTCCACCCCATGAGGCTTTAATATTTCCACATAACCTTTGATGAGGAGAAAACTTCCTTCAGAAATGTCATCAATCCCCCAAAACAAACAAGGGGTTTCAGCTGATGTACATCTGCGTGTTATGGTTTAGAACATAACCCTGAACCACAGAAGAAATAACAGCTTGAAGACAGATGTTACCTAAAATGTAGTGCTGAGAAAGAGAAAATGGAATCTTACAGTGAGAATATTTTAATTTAAAATAATTCTCTTTACATTCTGACTTTGTTCGTATTTTTGAAGAATGAGAAATACAGAAGGAAAGGAAAAAAGTAATTGGCAAGTGGTGACCTGTGATCCCAGAACTTAAAGGGTTATTTGTATTCCCTGCTGCCTCTTAAAAAAAAAAAAAGAGTATTTTGATAAAATTACGTAGTAATTCTGAAAATACTTTTATTCTGAAGGAGTTAAAATTGGGTTTTATTATGTTTTCACTATTTTTTCTTTTATTATGAAAGAATTATTTCTGTTCTTATTTGGATTTCTCTCACCTTACAGTTATGAGTCAGTTCAATACAGCTGCTAAAACTTTTAGGAAATAAACTGTGTCACTTGGTTCAGTGCAGTGAAGATGTTCCTGCAGTAGTAGTTTGGAATTCACTCTTTCCCACCGTTCTTTTAATAGATTAAAAATACCTGGTCCTATATGACTGTAGTTTCCATTCAACCTCCAACCTTTTTTCTGTTCAACTGGACAAATACTGGACTCCTGATCATCTGATTACTGTTACTTTAGATGGCACCCTTTCTGGGAATTCTTGATGTTGTAATCTCAGGTCTTCCAGAAGACTTTTTTCTTCAGTCCTTACTAAGGTTATTTGCTAGAAGGTTCAGTTTTGTCTCCCAGTGTTTCCATTGTGCAAGACAGTTCTTTCATTAATTCCATGTAGTATTCATTTTCCAGAGGCATTTCATGCAAAGACACCATGCTTACATGCAACTGAATGCTATTTTTGAGGAAGTTCATAGTTCAAGCACTCCTCTCTGCAGTGAAAATACCTAACATACCTAAGGAGAAAATAAAACAATGTGTCACATACACAGAATTCCATGGAATGTGGCTTCATGTAAATTGTTCTCTTGCCCCTCAATTTCTTAATGCTCACAACTGCATCAGGTTATCTAAAGCTCTAGACCAGCTTTCCAGTAAGAAGGTGTTTTGAGTAGTAATAGTTGAGTTCTGCCTACTGATGGAATGTATGGGAAGAGCTACTTTGATTCTTTTCCCTCCACAGCTACTGATCTTCATGCAGATGGTAACTTTGAAATGTCAGCCACATTTGACAGAAGGGTAGAAGTTGACCAATGTTTTAAAAAAAGAAATTGGATTTTCCGTCATCAGTTCCTTTTCAAAGTCAAAGAACTTTATCGTATTTTTTTTCCAAATGCAAAGATGATCAAATGAGTATTAGGACACTATATTAAAGTGACTGAGTTCTTGTTTTTCCTAACACTGTAGGTTGAAAACTCATGACTCTGGTTTGAATAGTGACTTGTTTACAAAAACCATCTCATCATCAAAATTGAAGTGTGGAATAGAAGGTGCAGATGGACAGAGATGGTTGAATTTAGTGCCTAGGCAGGGGTCAGCCAAAGTGAAATACTAAACTCTGTGCTGTTTCTCATATGGTACCAATTTGGGCATATAAAGTGAGTTGAGTTCAGCTCTAATAAAATGGTAGAATATTTGTATCTCCGGGTAGCCTGTATGAAAGATCAACAAGTTGTTTGACATGGAAGATTATACAGTGTTCCAGCAGTGACCTTAGCTGCAGGTCATTTTCTAGGAAGATGACAGGGTTTTTTTTCCAGTTCTTTACTCCAAACTTTTTAACATAAAAACCCCACAATTGTGTAGTTTCATAGTGGTGTTGGAATTTGATTTCTGAATATGAATTTGAGTGGCTTTCAGCCTTGGGCTTTCATTCATTCTATGTAGAGTTTTATAAGACAATTGAAGAGAGGTTATTTATCCATGGAGAAAATGCATTTTCAATGGTTCAAGTGCACATATTCAGGTTGAAGCAGTTGGATATCCTCAAGGGCTATGGAAGGACAAATAACTTGCTGAAACTGTAAAAACTTCTGGTTATGAATTACTTATTTTGGGTCTGTTGGGTGGCTGAACATGGCTGGTTCAGGAAACTTAAAGCTCAAAGGACAACCAGGGCAGGCTATTGCAGGCAAAGGTGAATCTGCATTCTAATGCTGTTGGTCAATAAGTGCATACCAAGAACAAACAAATTCTGGTATGGTTGGCCAAATAGACCTGGTAAAATCCTGTATGTCTGTGGGATCAGACCTTTCAGCTGAGAGAACAAATGTCTCTTTGAAACACAGGAATTCCTGAAGAGAATCTCACCTGTTTAAAGAAACCCAAAGGCTCCCACTGCAATATGGATGCTTTTAGCTACATCATGTAAGAAAGGTGTATTTTGTACTACAGAAAGAAAAGAACTTGGGAGCTATTTTGCAGTAGTGCTTCTTAACATACGTGCAGTGAGCACCCATAATTGTGAACAGTGTGAATGCTGAGCAAAATACACTGTTGTGAAATGGAGGCAGAAAAAGTCTGGATGTGTCTACCCCATCATTCAGTTCACGTTGGAAGAGGTAATTAAATAGATGCAGCCTTGTTTTGCTTGAGATCACATAGTTATGCTTATTTGCAGATCTGTCCAGTTTGCTGTAAGGATGCAATCTTCTTTACTTTTTAACATATATTTTTGATTGTAATTTTAGTAAGTGCACAATTACATTTCAAGAGAAGGTTCATCCTGAAAATTGGATTGCTTTGTAGATCAA